AGGTCGGAGCATTACACCGAGGTTCAAGCTGCTGAAAGCTCTGACACATCCATTTACAGACCTCAATTTGTTTCTCCTTCTGCTCAAGCCAAGTGGTCCACAATGGTCCGAAGAGAACTGATTGTTCAAAGATCGGTTGATGAAAACCAGATGAATTCCGTCTGCGATGTTCTGCCCTTGCTGAGAGAAGTGGGTCTTCTGAAGACAGTCACTGCCATCTGTCCGTATTCCAAGCTGCTCACATACGAATTTTACTGTAATCTCAATGAGGAGATGGACAATTTATCTGGAGAGCATCCACTGCAGATTTTCATTTGAGGGAAATGGTATGTGTTTGGCCCTGACATGATTAACGAATACTATGGCCTGCAAGGAGTCCAAGAGGAGGCTATCACTGACTGGGATGCAGTGGCCAAAACAGTCACAGGTGGACAAGCTGACAGATGGCCTACTGGTGATAAGGATACTCTACCTTGCTCTCAGCTCACCTCAAAATATGTGATTCTTCATCGTCTTGCTCTGCATAACTGGCTCCCTTCGGCACATTTCCACACTGTCGGCAAGCCACTGGCCAGTCTCTTATTCAGAATTGGAACCAAGATGTCCTTTGACCTTGGGTCATGGATCTATTCTCATATTCTCACTCTGATTCACCCGAGAGAACAAAAGGTACGACTGCCCTTTCCTAATTTGATCTTTGGAATTCTTACAACACAGGGCCTTGAGCCTATGACGAGTGAGGTGATCAGTCCGACCCTTCTCTACACGGTGGACCGGCGTCTGTTGACTGGAGAACATATCTGTGATGTTACACCAGTGACTGCACCCTCCAATCCTAAGACTGATACAGTGGGAGATAACTCACCGCATGCACGAGATCTTCAACTCTCTATCCAATTGAAGGCAAGAGTCTCTGAGCTCGAGACCGTTCATGGCATAATCGCTAAACAGCTGACAGGGGCTCATACAGAATTAGCCACTATTCTTCTTCGTTTAAACCTGACTGAGGCCTCTGCTGCTGCTCCTGTGAAGTCTGACAGTGAGACTCCCTCCAACGCTTGACCTGGCTTTGGCTCTCTTTTGGCAAAAAGGGGGAGTATGAACTCAGGGGGAGTTGTTAGTGTTTTTGTGTACCTTCTGGCCCTGGCTGGGCGATTGTTTGTGATGGCACCTCCTTTTTTAAGAATGTTCTTTCTTGACTTTGTTTTGATCCAGCATGACATGTATGCTGTGTTTTTATTTCTGCAATGTAATCAAATGTTGGGTGGCTTTATGATAGCCTATCTTAGTTATCTCAGTTCTTATGTCTTTCTATATAGTCGAGTTGTTTTGCCAAATAATAGCCAAAGGGGGAGTTTGTTAGTGTTTTAATTGTTCAAAAACCCCAACTTATAATTGGCAATATTATTATGGCATACTAAGATAGGATTAGTTCAGTGTCTGTTTTGTTCCACAGAGGACTGATCAACCAGATTCAACAACAGAAGGACTGACACTGAAGATCTGTTTTAGGAAGCTGTTTTCCTAAATGTTGTACGTGGTTTTACAGAAGTCAGATTTGGAAAGAAGATCAGCGTATCTGCTTTGGAAAGGTATGGACCGAATCCTTAAGATTACATTCTTCAAATATCGTCCTACCATCTACAATCAAAGACATCTATGGAAAGAGTGTTCTTTGACGGAACTATAAGTATCCTCATTCGAAGAGAATTAGGGTTACGCTTTGAGAAAGAAGAAAACACTTCACATCAGTTTGATGAGATCAGATCTTTGATTATCATGTCTCTTCTCAATACAAGATGTTCATGGTGATTAAGATGACGAACTTGAGAAGAATCACTGCTGCTTAAACGAAAGGACATTGTGATCACACTGTTGTGGGAACAACTGTAAAGAGCGTCATTGAAGTGGACTGCATTAGAGTGGGCTCTCCAACTGAAGGGATTTCATTGGACTTCTGTATGCATAGCTCTCCATCTTCAACAATCCACTAAACCTGTGTAGACTGGGTATGTACCTTGTGTGGGGCACTTGGGTAAGATTATTGTATATCTACCTTTGTACATCGGATTATGATTTAGTGGATTGGACGCCTATGTGATCGTCCCCCAGACGTAGATACACACTGTACCGAACTGGGTAAACATTCTGTGTCGTTGGTTTTGTGGTGTTATCTTTTCTCTAATCTTCACTGTGACTAGTTATTACTGATTAAATTCATCGTTGAATCAGTCAGTCCATTTAGTCAGTTGATTAATCCAGTTAATCTGTTTAAAAAGAGAAAATGCAAAATTACATGGTAAGGAAGCTTTGAGAAACAAACAGCTTACCTGGTGCAAAGTTGCGTACAAAGGTTATCCAACCCGTCGACTGCTAGCAACAGGTCCACCACCCGCCAAACAATTGTGTTCAGTTGTCTGGGGGAGGGTAAAACTCTAGCAAATTTGTTTCATCGAATGGGTCAGGCGATATAATCAGGCTTCTTTGAATTCAAATTTCGAAAACAAACGTCGAACAATAACATCCGGGCAAGGACAGTGTTCCACTACCAGTCGGAATTCGAGAACGTCGTCGGAGGGGCTAGGAGGAACCCTAGTCTAGTCGAGAATCACCGGACAAAGAAAATCTAGTCTCGACCGTCGCACTTCTTGTTCGGCGAACCTAGTCGCAGCCGACAAACTTCACGTCGGAAAGGGTTTCTGACCAAGGTAGACGACCTCTTGAATAGTATTTGGGGCGGGGATATGGTGTTGCCATCGTGAAGGGGCGAGACAATGAGGAATCCGTACCTTGTTTGAGAGACCCAATAGAATACAAATATGCAGATTTTCTAACCTTTTTTAATTCAAAAGAAAATAACGTAATCTTTTAATAAAAGATTAAATCGGTAATCTTTTAATAAACGACTAAAGAAGAGATTGGCATAAAAAAAATCCAGAGAGCCAACAAAAATCATTGTTAACTGGAAAATCTCACGGACGAACTCATGATACCTGGCACTCTAGAAAGAAGTCATAGAATTCTTTTAAAGAGAGAAACACTCTAGCCAGACGCTACTCCCTAGCATACCTTCAGGAATGTATGCCTTGTCGTCCTCTCTTGGTTCCTCGATTGACTTGGAGCGATTGAGGATGTGGTTAACCTCAGCCACGACCAAAGATTGTTTTGTGGTGGTGCCCAAAAGATTTGGGGCGCCACAAAACAAAAGTCACGCCCACATGGCAATAGAGGGTTTCATAGGCCTTCACCACCTCATAGATGTTAAAGAAGATCGATTGCTGGCAAAGCTGCCCACCGAGCAGCCACACCTCCTCACCCAAGGGGCTGACCGGCCACGCCCTTTCACCCCCAAAAATACGGCTACAACCGTCCAGCCGCAATCTGCTAGCCAAATTAATGAGGCTACATAACTCTTTGGCCAAGGCACACCAAGAATCACGCCTTTTCGGCTACACTAGCAACTCCCTTATAAATAGGTCTCATTTTCCCTCATCCATTTCGGCTTTTGCTTGGCTATTGCTTAAGTGTAGCACTAGACGTAAGTTTGCCCCTTAGAAACAAGTTTTCTAAGTATCTTGGGGGCCGAGGCAGTGTGCACGTCTTACCCTATTTTGCATGTAACCCATTGGGAGTATTTCCGATATTAATATAAGTTCCTTTCGTTACATTACGAGTCGCGTCCGTAGGGCGAAGGATCCCTTTTAGAGTCAAGTTGGTCTAGATTTCATGGGGTTGGATAAGCGACGAAATCGCCCCGTGACAATTGGTATCAGAGCCGACTCGATCCGAGGGGCTAACGGGGGCTCATGAGTTTGTAAGAAGGACAACGACAGGCAGTCAGTCACAAAGATGACGGGATTTGTGGTCGGTCATAATAGTTGGGACCTGATGAGGAATAGGCAAGAGGAAGCTGTGTTTGGCACCCTTCATTGGGACTGTTCCTCGTGGGACAGCGGTTGCTAGCACGGGCAGGAGAGACCTGCTGTGACCAAGCCGGCTACGAGGGATGAGATAACCGAATGGGTATTAACCCAAATGCGGGAGCTGCGGCATACGTGCTCCCTCCACAAATACATAACCAAATTCATCATCCTCTTATTCCATGTACCAGAGTTGCCTGAAGAAGAAGCAATCTCCTACCTCACCAATGGGCTACAGTATTCGCCCCAGACCAAGGTATGGAACGAAGATCCTCATACCATCGACGAGGCCATCTTATTCGTCCAAGAGATGGCCCGCATCGTAGAGGGCATGAGGATACTTGAGCGTCGAAAACAAGAACAAATCGCCTGAGAACTCGCCCGAATTGGGTCCCTCAAGGGGGAAACCGAGGAAGACTCGACAACTCCTACCGATCTACTCTATGTAGATCTCAAAATAAACGACCAGCACGTAAGAGCCATGATCGACACGGGAGCAACACATAACTTTTTGCGAGAGGCAAATCTAGACGCCGCACGAGGTTGGATAAGCAAAGAAATCGCCTCATGACAGTTATATATATATATATATATATATATATATATATATATATATATATATATATATATATATATATATATATATATATCGCCCATAATGAAGGATTTTTTTTTAAAAAAAATGTGATGGCTTTTTGATAATTTTTTGTAAGTGTTTTTTTTTTTTTTTTTTTGATACATTATTGCCTTCAAGTGTACAAATTTGGACCAGTGCACAATTTTTATATTCGAGTGTACATTTTAGTGCCTTTGAGTGCACAATTTTGACATTTGAGTGAATATTTTTGTGTTTTCAAGTGCACATTTTTGTAGATTAAAAGTGTAGAATTTCTTTTAGAGCCGTTGATCTCAAATTTATTGGCATGTTTACCTCATTTTTATAGATTAGAAGTGTAGAATTTCTTTTAGAGCCATTAATCTCAGATTTATCGGCATGTTTTACCTCAACACTTCTTCTCTCTCTCACACACACAGATACATACATACATATATAAGTTTCCAATACAATATAACAATGAATGAATCTCAAAAAATAATATAATACTCTTTATTTATCAACTCAAATAGGTCGGAGTTCAATGTAATTTGATGACAAGTCATACCCCACTTCTTCTTCTTCCAGCAGTAGATGTAGACCTGAGTATATGATGTAGCACTCCGTATCACATTTAACAACAATTGTTAAAGTTACAAAACAAGACAATCACCAAAACCATGATTACAACTCTACCACCATTCCCAATTCAGTGTGAAATAAATATAGCCAAGCCAAGGCTTACAATAACCAAAAGGTATTTTCCAAACTTGAAATGTGGAGGAGCCGTGGAATATACATTCAATCAATCACTCTGCTTTAGTGGTTCTCAGATCTCAACCAAAAGCAACCCCAAGTTTATTTTTCTTGGCTGAAGACTTCCTCTGGCAACAATCTTATCCACTAGTAATAATTTACTATAGAAGCCTAAGATGTGATGTATCATTCAATCTCTTTATTTGCCATCCCATTTTCCATGAATGTTGTAACACGGTTACTGAAGAATCGTCTACACAGATCTTACTCGACATTACTGCACTGCATCCAAGAAGCCCGGTAACAACACACTTAATTGGGATTGCATGGGTGAAGATGCCCACACACGAAAAAGAAGAAGAAGACGAAGAAGAAACACTAGAAGAGGCGCTTTTGGTATTTATGTCACGAACCGGGCTGGGGTTGACTTGCACTCGAGGAGACATCTCATCATCAGCCTGATCTCCAGTTGAAGCCACCATCTGCAGCCTACTTTTGCCAGACTTCTTTTTTGTATTTCCTTGTCGATGCCTGTGAACCAAATCCAACTGGGGTGATGAAAAAGAAGGCCCATAACGGTCATGAACTGCGTTTGTAAGAGAATGAGAACCACGATTTGAGAAATCCTGGCCATCAATTCGATCTGGTGGGGAGAAATCAGATCTGAATTTTTCAGGCAATGTCATAACAGTCCCATTTAGGAACTGCACCATCCTAAACTCCACCTGCCTTAATGATTCTCCTGATGGTGCAGAAAAATCGGGCTGGAACCTTTCCATTAAGCTAATTGTTTCAGATGTAAATATTTCAGATCGATGGCATCCTTCCCAGTGTCCATGACTCATTTCTACGAGCGCATCTGAAGATTGTATCTGCTCCTCTGAAAAGTTCAGTTCCTGCATAAGATGATGATTTATGGTCTCTTGAATAATCAATTTAAGAAGCCTCAAACGAGATATCTAGTTGTAAGGGGAACATTTAGATATTCATTCTTATCATTTATGGAGTATTATCTTTAAAATGCTTATAAAGGCCATGGAATGATAATAAGAGCATTGCAGGAAGCAGAAAAAAGTTCTACACTAAATATAACTTAATAAGTTATACCTCGAAGTTCTAGGTTTATTATCAACCTCTTATAGATAATAGATATTGCATTTTGTTATTTTATTCTATATTTCTATTTGAAAGCCATACCATTTCTGTCTATGATATTTGTCCCAGTGTTTTTTTAATCATTCCTCGTCTTCTTTTTTCCTATATATTGTAGCAAAACTACTTTTTCAACCAAACTAATTCCCAGTTTAGTCCCCATACTATACTATAGTAATCTGTCACTTTTAAGTACCCGGCTATCAATTTGGACAATGATCTCCCAATTATTGAAGAAGTAGATAGAAATAATCCTCCATTAGGGTTTTGTTAACAAAATGAGTCAAATGACTATTTTCATCCAAATGCCAATAGTCAGAGACCATTCCAATTTCAAACTTCCAATACTTGGGAAACCATATCTACCTAATTTTTCAGAAGAACAATAATTCACAGTAATTATTAGAAGTAGACAAAAATGGTCCCTCTGTTGTGGTTAATAATGAAAGTCTTTTATATCCACTTTCAGTATTTGAGGGACCAGTCTTATACAAATTGATAATTGGATACTCCGTACTAAAAGTGAAATATCACTATAGTCTAGGACTAAAACTGAAATTAGTCATTTTGTCCATGTATTTCTCTTACTTTCAGTAGGTTTTGTTGCTTCATGGATGAAGAAACTGATTTATGTCAATTGCCGGTTATAAACTTGGGTACTGAAATGGAGTCTTAAGTGAATTCAGATCCAGGCAACACATATCTACTGCATCATGAAAGAGTATTACACTGAAATGCAAACTACATCATCATAGTGCCCTATGCAAACAACATTGGTCTACAATACACTAACCATCTTCTTCTCCTTCCTTCCTGTATTTGTGTCTTACATTTTGCATATAAATATATACTCGTATTATATAAGCTTTTTTTGTGAATGGGATTCTGAAATCCCAACAACACTCCCAAAGAGAAAGGGACGCATTAATTTTTGCTTCAAGACTAAAGCATGATCAGTTCCCTGTTAGCATCCCTATAGGGCATAATTAAAATATATAGGCAGGACTGGAGGGAGGGGGGGAAGATAAAGAAAAAGAGAGAGAGAAAAGTAAGGAACTAATCAAGAATTCATTGTCAAGGCTTGAAAGCCATCAAAATGTTGTAGTCAGTCAGGCAGTTGAACAGATCAAAGGCTTATTCAGGTACTGAAACTTCCACTACCTATTAAGTGTTTTTGCTTTTATTTAATCTCTGTTACAATGTAGTATCTGTTCATACATACTTTCTCAACCTAATGAAGCAGAAAGAGTCAGTGGAGGTAGCCACAATCGACCACAAGGTGTTTGGCCATTCTCGGGCAATTAATGGAAGTGCATTTTTATATTTTTCTAAGTTGTTTCAGGGCAGTTTTAATTATAGAAGGAATCGGACAAACTTGCATATCTCTAGCCAAGTATAGTTCAATGAAATTGTGGTGATACAAGAAGGTGGAAGAAAATACTAGACAAGTAAGTAGAGCATTTCATACACAAGAATTCTAAATTTGCAGTAAGGTATTGAATTCAAAGTTTGCAAGTTAGATGGAGTAATGTAATCTGAATTTGATAGGTAAGGCATTTTATTGAATTTAATTAAGAAAAGCAGAAGAAGCTAGGTACCTGACATACGGAAAGCGCAGTTGCACGCGCACGATCGAGGGGCGAGGTATATACTGCAGCGAAGCGAACGCCCTGGGATTTGAGGAAAATGGCCAAAGCTCTGGCTTGACGCTTGCCATTAGGGGTGAGGGCGGCGTCGGGGCATCGGCCACCGATCAAATCTGGCCTCAAATTCATGTGGCACTCGCCGTTGCTGATCAAGATGAGCTCGGTCACTAACCTGTCCTCGTCCGAGAAGGAGCGAGGGAAATAAGGGGGAGACAGAACTGGAGCCGGAGCTGGAGCCGGAGCTGGAGCCGGAGCCGGAGCCGGAGCCGGAGCAGGAGCCGGAGCGAGAACATTGAAAGGGTCCCAGACTTTGATGGAGGGGCCTAGGCGTGGGGTGCCCAAAGCGGATGGCTGTGGAGAGAGAGGGGATGCGGAGGCATGGCACGGCAGCATCTCCGGCTCTTGTTGGAGGACCTTCTTCGATCCATCACCCACCGATGCTCGCCTCTCCTCCGAGTTCTGCCCATCACCTTCTTCCGCTGCCTCCCTTCCTTGCCCTTCTTCTCCTTCTTCATCATCATCATCCTCCTCGTCTTCCGAGGGCAATTGTAGGGACTGTGAAGACCCCATTTCCAAACCACCAGGATCAATGCTAATGCGATTTCTTAAAATAATTCAATTCAATCCAAACACAACGCCAATAATGAGTCTCCAGATTCAGATTGCGAGGAACAGCCTAGGCTAGGGAGCCTGTCTGATACGGAGTATTTTTTTTGGTTTTACAGATTAATCCGATCTGTGATCTGCATCTCTATCTCTGTGTAACCGCCATTTGGTTCACGGAATTGTTAAATTACTTTACAACCCGTTTGGTTTGCTAAACAATATTTGGAAGAAAATATAATTGAAATACTATAAAAAAAATAAATTCTAAGAAAATAGATTGTATTGTTTGATTGGTCAAAATTTTTTATTGAGAATATAAATTTTATTATTTGATTGGGTTTGGAGTTGTAATGAATAATGAGTATAAAGATCGATAGAGAATATACTCTGGACAACTAATTCAAGTATACTAAGCACCTGATTAGATCCAACCATATATATAGTGAGGATCTTTTCCCGACTTGATCTGACATGACGAGGGTATTCAACCGGCTCGACCTGAAGGTTACGACTCTTAATCTTTTATGCTCGGCCTAGATCTGAATGTTCGATTTGGGCCACGAAACTATGTGATAAGCCCTTACAGACGAATGCCAACGATAGCGCTTGGACTAAGCCCGATAGCCATTGATCGATAAGATATTTCACTATACGTGAACGTTCCCCCCTAAGCCTCTGAGACCACGTAGGTGCATGAAAGACACATGTCGTACATGCTAACCCCCCGCATGTGTCCCCTTCATATCTTCTATAAATACCTCGCTAAATGCTGATAAAAGGGACTTTTTCTCATTTTCCCTTGAGGTCACTTAAATGCTCGGGAACCTCCGACCTTCAGGCTTAGCTGCCCGAGCTACTACATTCAAATTGTACAAGATACAAATATTAATACCCGAGAGTATCTACACTATCAAAGACAATTATTGTTGGGTAATATGGTTGTAAAATCCCAAAATAATAATAATCCTACGGAAAGATTAATATTATATGGGAAAACAGAAACTGGGAAGGAAAAGGTTGAGTGTTTGGGGTATAGGTTTAGCACGAGTTCGAACACAAGGTTCTTTTCCTTAAAACCTTATTTGCTACCTCCCACAAGTGCTAGGAGCGTTGTAGCCTAGGTTTCCCAGGATAAAACGTGCTACGATTCCTTGTTTAAGCACCTAAACAAGGAACCCGGCAAACAAAGCACAGTATGAACACTGTTGGCAAAAGAAGAGAGTAGAAGCAGAAGTTTTGAAGCTGAAAGCTACTGGAATTCCCTAGTTTCGTGTACTGTATGAAAAGCTACTGCTCTACCTCTCTTTATATAGGGATGTTGGAGTGATAGCATTCAACATGGCCATTAAATTGGTGTTAAAACCAATTGTGTAACACCTGTAACGGTCACCACTAAGTAAGATTAAACTCAGAATTTAAAAATTGGAATTAAAACAGTATTAATTCCGTAACAGATGAGTTTAATCTTCTGCACTTTCGGGTTTCAGACCGTTGGGTTACAGGTTCACACGAGAGCACACGGACCAGTCAACACGAGAGTACATCTCTCGTGTGCACTGTGGTGCAACCCGAGAGTGCACTACTCTCGTGGTCACAGTAGCCCGCAAGGCCAGCCCATTTCCAGACAACATTCGTGCCCGCAAGTGCCGGCGCACGCGAGCTCGGGCTTGATTTTAAGCCTTTTTGATGTCCTCTAGTTGGATCTTGATTTGCACCCCCCCCCCCACCCCCCCCCCCCCCCCCCCGCGCGAGAAAGCCTCTATGCTATACAATTCTACAAGCTTGAAAAGAGCTCATGTATATAAGGGGGGCAAATCTTGTTTCCAAACCAATGTGGGACAAAGTCCTACATTTTCCCTTCATTTCCCAACTTAAATGGGTCTACTTTGAGAATCAATATCTCATTCACCCATTATCCGTTTTGAGCATACAATATATCAATCTCTTCGTCTTACTACGAAGAATCCGAATCCACTTTGACCCGACCCAAATCGGAAGTGGAACCCACTGATAATTGTACCACAAAATAGCCACTTAATATGCCAGTTTAATGTCATTTTAAGCTAATTTTTCCAACAATCCCCCACATGAATGAAAATTGATTTTCGGGGTAGTTTTAAAACGGAAACAACTGTGTTCAACGGTCGATCCCTGCATAGGATAGGTAGGGTCACACCCTTTGAACCTTCCCTCGTGAAGATACATTTACTCTACTGGCTGTACGGTAGAACGCGATGTCTTTGAACCGACTGCCGTTTGTGTAGACGATGACATATCTCACATAGGAACCTCCCAACCATGCTTTGTCCTCATGATTGTGCCCATTTTGGTCGTGGGTCACCATTCCTGGTTCTGCAAGAGTTTGTGAAGAATTATGCCCGTCAATTCTCCTTTGAAGCGACCCTCACTTCTCTCTCACATAGGTGATTCTTTCCCGAGTATCCCGCATACTCACATATGTCAACCGACATTCGAATCACTAAAGCATTTAGCATGCTAACCTTGTGCGGGAGCCACTGTTTCTAACGAGGAGTGGTAGGGAATCCGAGACCCCCACAGTGACACGCTCCGTTCCATAATTTAGTTGTCCCATTGAACCTAGGTGCCAGCTAGGTTGGGTGTCCACTATAGAACTTTATACCAAGGGCTTTAGACCCATTCCTCGTCTCAACTTCTCCACAGCTACTCTACATAACCCTTTGGTTAACGGATCCGCTATATTGTCTTCTGACTTTACGTAGTCAATCGAGACAACACCAGTTGTGAGAAGTTGTCTAATGGTATTATGTCTACGACGCACATGTCTAGACTTACCATTATACATATGATTCTGTACTCGTCCAATTGCAGCTTGACTATCGCAATGCACACACATTGGAGGTACATGTCTTTCCCAATTAGGAATATCCTCTAAAAAATGGCGTAGCCATTCAGCCTCTTCACAACATTTGTCCAAGGCTATCAGCTCAGATTCCATCGTGGATCTAGCTATCACGGTCTGTTTAGAGGATTTCCATGCAACGGCTGCACCGGCTAGTGTAAACACGTAGCCACTCGTGGACTTGGAGTCCTTAATATCGGATATCCAGCTAGCGTCGCTATACCCTTCAAGTACAGCAGGATATCTCCCATAGTGCAGTCCAAGGTCTCGAGTATACCTTAAGTATTTCAGAACCTTCACTATTGCCGTCCAGTGCATGGCACCGGGGTTACTCGTATATCTACTGAGTTTACTAACCGCAAAGGCAATATCCGGCCTAGTGCAGCTCATTAGATACATCAAACTACCAATAACCCGAGCATATTCTACTTGAGAAATACACGCCCCGTGGTTTTTGGTTAGATGAACGCTTCGATCTAATGGCGTCCTAGTCCCTTGATGATTATCCTTGTTAAATTTTTCAAGGATTTTATCAATATAATGTGATTGGCTTAACACCAGACCATCAGGTCTTCTAATGATTCTAATCCCGAGGATTAAATCAGCCAAACCCATATCCTTCATGTCAAATCTCGCATTTAACATGTTTTTGGTAGACTTGATCATCCGATCGTTACTACCAACGATGAGCATGTCATCTACGTATAAACAAAGAATGACATAACCGTCTATCGTTTCCTTAACGTAGACACATTTGTCACTTTCGTTTATTTTAAACCCATTAGTTAACATCGCATGGTCAAACTTCTCGTGCCATTGCTTAGGCGCTTGTTTTAAACCATATAGCGATTTAACCAACTTACACACTTTCCTTTCTTGGCCCGGAACCACGAACCCTTCGGGTTGTTCCATATAGATTTCCTCATCTAATTCGCCATTTAGGAAAGCGGTTTTAACGTCCATTTGATGAACTTCCAAATTCCGCAGCGCGGCTATAGCAAGTATCATTCTAATGGAGTTTATTCTCGTCACGGGAGAATACGTGTCGAAGTAATCAAGGCCCTCGCGTTGCCTGTAACCCTTGATTACAAGCCTAGCCTTATACTTCTCGGTGGAACCATCGGGTTTCATCTTCCTTTTAAAGACCCACTTGGATCCTAAGGGTTTACTACCCGGAGGAAGATCAACAAGTTCCCAAGTGTGATTCTGTAAAATAGAATCCACTTCACATTTAATAGCCTCTTTCCACATTGGTCCTTCTGTAGAAGTCACGGCTTCTCCGTACGTTCGAGGCTCGTTTTCTATCAAACAAGATAGAAAATCGGGTTCATTTTCTAATAAACAAGTTAGAGTACTCGAATCATACTCCAACAAGTAAGTTAGAAAATCAGGACCGAATGATTTTCCAACTCTCGCCCGCTTACTGCGTCTTGGCTCGAGCTCGGGTTCTCTCTCGGATTCCCCACTATCATTATCCATAGCTTCGTCAAACGTTCGTTTTGACGAACTCGGTCCCTCATTGGACCTACAAGGAAATACATTTTCAAAGAAAGATGCATTCCTTGATTCTATTATCGTGTTCTCGTGTACGTCCGGATTATGGGACTCGTGTACTAAGAACCGATAAGCACTACTATTATGTGCATAGCCAATAAAGATACAGTCCACCGTCTTAGGACCTATCTTTACTTTCTTAGGTGTTGGCACCAAAACTTTGGCAAGACACCCCCACACTTTCAGGTACTGGTAGGAAGGTTTCCTACCGTTCCACAGCTCATAAGGAGTCTTATCGAGCTTCTTGTGGGGTACCTTATTTAAAAGGTAATTACTTGTCAAAATAGCCTCACCCCACGCGTCTTGAGGTAGGCCCGAACTTATAAGCATCGCATTCATCATATCTTTCAATGTACGATTCTTTCGTTCGGCAACACCGTTCGATTGAGGTGAGTAAGGTGCAGTACGCTCGTGTATTATACCTACACTCGCACAGAAGTCACCAATAGGTGCTTCGTACTCACCACCTCGATCGCTTTTAACTTTCTTAATCTTACAATTAAGTTGGTTTTCAACTTCATTCTTATAGAGAATGAATTTTTCCAAGGCTTCGTCTTTGCTTTTAAGCAAATACACATAGCAATAACGTGTGCTATCGTCGATAAACGTGATAAAATATTTATTACCACCTCTCGTTTGTATCGATCTAAAATCGCACAAATCACTATGGATTAATTCTAGTGGTTCAGTTTCCCTTTCAACCGATTTGAAAGGTACTTTCGTTAATTTTGCCTCAACACAA